TATGTTGCATATAAAATACCATCAACTGTTCTTATATCCTCGTATGATGTCGGACCTCTAACCCAATTTAGCAATACTCTTAAAAAATATAGCTCATCACCTGACGGATGTATATGCGCAATCCTCCCTATCGCAAAGCCTCGTTTCCGTGGTACCCATTCTCTCGTACCTGATTTCCAGACAAATCTAGTCGGGAATTCAGCATATGTCAACTCTCTTGTCTCTGGATATTTTTTGTTTGCTATGAACCAGGTTGTTAAACATGGATTGGTTTACAGTCTTTTTGTTGAGAATACTCTCAATAGGTTCATCTTCATCAAAAAACACCAGCTCCTGATCCGGAAGATGAAATCCAAGTTTGTCAACTGAAGTAGTGCGGAAATGTGTAGGAAAAGCAAGAATCCTCCAAGACGACTCGCATGCCGTAATATATCTAATTAAGAAATACGGAAAAAAATTAGTAAAGTTTAACGTATACCTTAAAATGCGAAACACAATAAACTCTGTGTATAAATAATGTATTTATTCATTCATGAACTCTTGAATTAAATTTAAAATATAGTAAAAAAAATATAATAGATAATAATGGCGTAAAACATTTAGTTTCCGGATTATTGAAAGGTAAATAATAGTATAAGCAATTTGACTATATATTAATGTATACATAAGCCATATTAGTATCACTTAAACCATTTTAATAAATTTATATTGAAGCCTAAATCGGTATTTAAAAATCTGTTTCTTAATTATGTTATATATTCATTTATGAAGTTATCAATTTTAAAAAGAGTGCAAATTTATATATTATAAAAATGGCGACAAAAATACGATTTTTTAACACTAAAAATACCTGCAGTCGTAATATGTTTTAATTTCGTCAATGACGCCATCCTCATCTTCCATATCCATTGCAGCTGAAGCATAATCAGACCCCTTATGAATATATTTGAAAAGATACTTAACAGCTCGTGTTTGGAAGCACCACTCAACATTCTAGGTGACCCACCCGCACCCTGTGCGGGTATAAAAATATAGTATAATGTTGAGACAGAAGTATCTATTGAGTTCAAATGTGGGACTTAGTGGAACAAGTGAGAGTTTCAATGCTGAGACAAGATTTGCGCAAATCTCTAGGATGCAGTAGAGGTGGGCAAATCGTTACATTTTCGGTTTGGTTTGTTTAGTTCGGTTTTAATATTATTTTTTTCAACTGAAATAAACCTTATTTAGTCTGGTTCAGTGTGGTTTATGTCCAGTTCAATTTATATTCAGTTCGGTTTGTTTTTGGATCGATTTAATTAGGCTCTTTGTCGCTTAATTTTTTAAAAGAAAAATTATGTTTTAAAATATATACACAAAAAATATGTGAACTAAATTCAATATTAAACCGAAACAAATACTAAAAAGGTCACAAAAAGTATATAAGAATAAAACAAATGAAAGTTAACAAAAGTAAAAAAAAAAATTAACATCATTAGTATGTTTTTAATAAAAGTTAACTATTAAAAAAACAAATGTAAGTAAGATATACAGGAGACAGTGACATATTAAAAATGTGATAAAAATCTCATAGATATCACAATCCCAAAGAAAATGTGATGAAAGTTTAAATATAATTCATAAGTAATATAAAATAAAAAGAACATTTATGAATAAAAAAATCCCATAGAAACCTGCAAAAAACTGTCAATTTTTTTAGCAATTGTACAATATAAAATAATTTAATAGATTTTTAAATTTATCGAGACGAAAATAATATTGAATTTGCATATCGCTATTGAAACAAACTGAAAAATGGTTTGTAATCAACTACAAACGATCTTTCATCTGTGTTATTTATCTGTTAATATAAAAACAAACAAATGTATATATATAGTAAATCACATTTTTAAGATCCATATTTATATATATATATATATATATATATATAATTAAGATAATAGTTTTGGATTTTTTAAATCTCAAATCACCATTATATTTTTGGTTTTCTAAATGGATAACAGTTTTAGGCTTTTCTAACTCAAATCACCATTATCATATAAATTTGTCCAAGGTAATTGATAGCAAAATAAGGTAATCATCATATTTCCGAATTAACTAATTAGGAAATAAAGTTTCTCAGCTACACGAAGTTTACACTAATATGGTGGAAACCATCCAATGTATAAAAATGTGTCAAGAACTACACGAAGTATATGTTAATACATGCCACATGTACGAAGTAAATGACATTATGGTGGCAACATCACAA